TGTAGTTTTGTGAGACATTAAGCCGCCTCTGTCAGCAAGAGCTCTGATGCCACAATAACCTACAATTTCCAGGATTCCCTAGCACTGAGCCAGGGCAATTCAAGTGGTCTCAGACTGGATTGTTTCTGCAGTGTGTCTTGGATCTAAATGACCTTATTTCACTAGTGTCTTTGGGCCCCATGTTGGCTTGGCTGGTTCCTCAAAGGATCAGTAGAAAAGGAGAAGCATTCTGTCTGGTAAGTTCTGGCAGGATGAGGGAAATGAGTGCGAAGTGATGGTGATCTGTTGCGTTTCATGTGTTTGGACACACAGCTCAAACGCACAGTGGAAGGGGTAGCACTCCCACCTTTTTGTGACTAGTCATGCCTCGCAACTTCTACCACGTTCACCACGTAACAGAAACGCCAGAGATTGGGGAAATTTCTAGATTTAAATGCGGGACACTGGGCTGTATTGGTGTTTGCATCTGTTGTGCAATCCCTGGTTCAAGAAAATGGTCCATTTCAACCTGGATCATAGACCTCTGTACAGGTCGAATCTCTCCTTATCCAAAATGTTTGGGATTTGAAGTGTTTAGGATTCTGGAATATTTGCATATACATAATGAAATATCTTAGAGATGGGACCCAAGTCGAAACATGAAATTCATTTATATTTCATACACACCTTATACATATAGCCTGGTGGTAATGTTATACACAACATTTTAAATAATCTTATGCATGAAATAAAGTGTGTGTACACTGAACCATCAGAAAACAAAGGTGTTGCTATCTCAGCCGCCCATGTGGACAATTTTGGAGTATTTTGGAGTTTGAAATTCCAGATAAGGACAACTCAACCTGTATTCTGAGTGAGTCTAATATGTTCTTGCACCTAACCGAACTTCTCCAATCTCACTAAGCTGTTATACTGTGGTCTGATCATAATCCTGTAATTATGTATTAACACATTTGGAAACACCAAGAGAGTTTCTTCCTGCTGTGGAGATATTTTGTGACATAACAATGTTGACACTCCTGGTGATAAGGTAATCCTAACCAGACCTTCTGGTAAGAAGCTACAGATCTGTGTATGTTCACTTGCTCATCGTGGGAAAGATCCTTCATGAGAGAGATCTCTGATAACAAAACTGCTTTTTAACCACTGCACTAATAAAATGAGATGCGAAGCCCTTAATGTTGTAGCAGAAGTGGGATGAAGTGAGGTTTGCTGCAGATAGGAGATGATGCATAGTTTGATCATTCTTAAAGAAAGAAGCCACTGCTGAGTTTCTTTCAGACTTAGCCAAGAATTTGTTTAACCAAGTTCTTAATAATTTGTTTAGGTGCGGTTTTTTTCTGATTTTTTTCAGGTCTTGGTCTGGAAAGAACTTGATTATGGATCTATGACAGAATCTGAAAAACAAATGCTTGTTTCTGAAGTGAACTTGCTCCGTGAGCTGAAACATCCAAACATAGTCCGATATTATGATCGTATAATTGACAGGACAAATACAACGCTTTATATTGTGATGGAATATTGTGAAGGTGGAGACTTGTCTACACTTATTGCAAAATGTACAAAAGAAAGGTTGTAAACCTCTTTTTATTTATCTCAATGTTTGCAGATCTCTTCTTGGTTCTATAATAACTAGTTTATTAGCCCTGAACACATGCATGCTAAGTCAAAAATCACTAATAATCGTGGGATTTTTCTACCATCTTCTGTTATGAGGTTATAAGAAAATTACTGGGGGATGGCCATTTCAGTCAAATATTTTTATCTGAATTCTGATGAAATTCTTGTCTCCTTTTGACAACATATTAGAATATACTGAAGCCAAAACAGCCTGTTATTTTTCTGCTAAATACATCCTGTGGGAGGTTACAACGTGGTAAAGAACTGACAGAGTCCTCAGGATGATGAGGCCTGTGGATTTTTAAATGTTGGTGTAGTTATTTCTAGAGAGGTAATGTAAGACACTTTTAGGGCCACATTGAAAAGGAATAAACTATGACAGATGCTTTGGATTCTACACCTCACAGGTTTGAATTCCATACTGTCTTTCTAAGCCCAAAGACCGCAGATACAGGGCTTTGTCTTTAACAGTTCAGCATACTGAACACTGTACATACACACTGTAATCTTTGTAAATTTGAGAATGTATCTTGTAGCATGTCTGTTCAGTGACAGAGATTTAGACAGCCTTTTCATTTTTGATATTCTAGTACTGACACTTTCAAAGTTTTAGATCATATCGCTTAAAGCATTTTTACTTGGTTCTCCAGCTAAATAAGGTGAATATCAAAGCAAATTACAAAGACCACTCATAAAATACTCAGCCCTCATGCTTACAATCTAAGGGACACTAGGGAGCGATGAGCAAGTGGGAAAGCTCAATCATTAGCTTTGGCTACATAGACTAAATTAAAATATGGGGTTAATCACATCCATCCTGCAGGACAGTAGGTTGGCTGTGGCACAGTGGTAAAATGCAATCCACCTTTGTGAGAACTAAAAGGTCTTACTTGTGCTAAGCTGGACAAGTTGTGAGCCACCTTGGGTCCTATATAGGGAGAAAGGTGGAGTATAGATTTTTTTTTTTACGTGGAATCTTTAGTTTGGCACTTCATTTTGCCATTACTGATGAAGCCCTGTGAGTACTGAAGTAATGTTGGATGCTTTCTGTTGCTTTCTATCTGTGGGAAACCCTTGCTGCTTAGAGTGGAGAGAATAGAACGAGGATTACCTGGTATCTGTAATTTTGCCACAGGTACTGGCATAACAAAGGGAAGTGATCCTTGCCTTCTGATAAGAAAACATTCAGGGGTAGCTGTGTTGGCCATTTAGCAAATTCAAACAAAAAAAATCCATCAGTGATACTTTTATTGGCCAACCAAAATGCCCAATATACTTGTTGCAAGCTTTCAAAGCTCCATGGGCTTCTTCATCAGGCAAGATGCTACAAACCAAACAGGAGAAAAACAATTGGAGATGTTAGTCAGATGCCGTAGGTTGGTTGGCCAATACAGGTATCACTGATGGATTTTTGTTTGACTTTGATAAGAAGGAATACCAGCAGGCCTACGGAGCTATTCCGAGTTACAAGTGAAAAAGGGAAGAAAGCAAGAGTCTCCTCCAAACTATACTACACAGGAAATTATATTGTTATAATTAGATTATTTTCTCCCAATTCAGCTCTGCTTGCCAGAGGGCTTTGAACAGCCAGTTACTCTTGTCTTGCATGGTTTACAGATGATAGAGTGGGAGAACCTCCTGCTGATTCTAACCCTCTCTACTGCTTTATCAGTGAGACAAAAGATTTTCTGATTTATGGGGTGGTTTGAATAAGATAACAAAGAGTGGGAATATCTATTTTATCAAAGTTTCCATAAGGTTGGTCAGGGCTGTGCCTCTCCCATATCCTCTGCTCTTGTTGAAGTGGTGAGAGGATGAGGTGGAATTTCCTTCTTGAGTACTGGTAGTTCAGAAACAACAAATGTTTCATCTATTCTTACTGTTTTTACACTGGCCCAACTGGGAGCAAGCCCTGGCTTTCCCAAGTCCAAGAGGCAGAAAGTCTCAAGGACTCCAGAGTTTGGTTAAGATGCCAAGCCAAAAGGTTAAACTTTAACTTGCTATTTGTAGGTTTGTGTCACAGGGAGATTTATGGATTGGGAGGGCTTCTATACAGTGCAGTGTTTGCCAAACTTTGGCCTGTCAGTTATTTGGAATGTCAAGTCACAGAGTCCCTGAACATTGGCCATGGTGGCTGAGACTTCTGAGAGCTGAAGTCCAAAACATCTCAACCCAGGTGGCTAAAGTGTTATGGCTAATCACATTATATCTGGAGATCCCCAAATTAGAGAACAATGTATACAGTCCTGGAATCTTGGGAACTGTTAGAAAGAAACAAAAATAGGTTTTAGCCAAAAGATAACCTCTTCTTCCTCTTTCAAAAGGCACTATCTGGATGAGAATTTTGTCCTTCGAGTTCTTACTCAGTTGACCTTGGCCTTGAAGGAGTGTCACAGGCGAAGTGATGGGGGTCACATTGTCCTTCATCGGGACCTAAAGCCAGCAAATATCTTTCTTGATGGAAAGAAAAATGTAAAGCTTGGTGACTTTGGCCTTGCTAGGATTCTTCACCATGACACTAGTTTTGCCAAAACATTTGTTGGTACACCATACTACATGTCTCCAGTAAGTGTCAAAACAAAAATCTGCAATGTCTGTATTCTTTGAGCATTTCCCAATACTTTAAATTTTACCTGTTCTAGTTTAACTTGTTTGACCTGTAGCTAGTGCACAATGCTCTTTTAGTTTCCATACTTTATAAAATCTAGGTTTTTTTTTTAATAAAATCTAGTATTTCTGGTTTAATGTGTTTGACTTGTAGCTAGCTAGTGAACAAAACTGAAGTATGATGTGTTGGTTTGTATGCTTTATAAAATCTAGTATTTCACATGGCTAATGGCAGTTGAACTGAGATGCCTGGAGTTTCAGTCATGCCCAGATTGATTTAAATATTGTGGTTGGCATCTTGTTCAATATTTATGAGATTGTAAGCCGGATTTATGAACCTGTATCTTTTGGATTCACATTTGTGGTAGTTAATGACCAAGCATGACCCCAAAAATCTCCTCCTTAAGCCAAGCAGCATCCTAGCTGAAGTATTTCTGTGCTGCTGTAGATCAAGGTGCTGGGAAATGACATCTGCAGTGCTCTCCTCATCATGGAGTAGGTATTGAGACAAGGAGATGTAGCAGGGGTCTTTCTAACTGCTCATCTAAATGCTCTCAACAGCCAAGAAAGCACTGCAGTCATAATTTCCTTGTGTTCTGATCTGAAACACTTTCAGTTGGGATGCTTCCCTTAATAGGTTTTTGGAGTGGGAGGTATTGACAGAAGTAGCTATAATTTCAGATCATCTCTGTTGCCGTAGCTACACCTGATGATGCAACATCTTGGCCAATACTTGTACAATGATATTCAGTTAACTAGGACCTAAATAGAGAGCCAGTGTGATGTAGTGGTTTGAGCGCTTGACTGCAGCTCTGGAGACCAGGGTTCGATTCCCTGCCCGACCATGGAAACCCACTGGGTGACCTTGGGTGAGTCACACTCTCTCAGCCCCAGAAAATCTTATGATAGGTCCACCTTAGGGTAGTTGTAAGTCAGAAACAAAGCACACAACAACAGAGGCCTAAAAACCATAAAGGCATCACATCTAGTGTGATCTTGGATGCTAAGTAGGGACAGCTGTGGTTAATACTTGGATGGGAGACTCAACAAATACCAGGTGCTGTAGGCTATATTTCAGAGGAAAGAACTGACAAACCCACCTCTCAGAAAATCCTATGGATTTCATGCGGTCACCCTCTGCTGGTACCACTCTCAAAGTCTTGTTTCTTGCCTACTAGAGCAAGGAGGGGGAACAACCCACATTATGATGAGAAATAAAAAATACTAGGGAAAAAACATCTCGCAGGTAACACAATGTTCCTGTCACAATAAATTGGCAGGCTGTTTGAAGGCGCATGTACATTCAGTTAAGTGCTCCTGCTGCTGCAACTGCTGCTGTCAGCAAGTGTGTGGGGTATTCCCCATATGTTTTCAATCTATTCTAGATGGATGAGGCCCTTAAGGGCAGATATGGTGGTGATTTGGCATGTGGCAAAAATAGATGGCACTGAAGACAATATAAATATGCACATGCACAAACCTTCTAATAGTAGACAGCTTAACACTTAGTAAAGTAATAAATGAAACTGCTTTTGTTCTTTGAATTCAAGAATGCCTTTTCTGTTTGTTAAATTTGGCAGAAATAAAGCCAAAACAAATAGAGTAGTGGTTCTACAGTGGAATGAGTAGTAACCAAGCTAACCCCAAAAAATTATTTTGGTTTTGAAATATTACTTACAGTAGGTTAGATTCACTATCTGTCATAAATGAAATGAGTGAGACATATGTTAGACAATGATTTCAGTGTGTCTACTCTAAATGTGACTACATTTGGCTCCAATCTTAGTGTTTAGGATGAAATATTATTCAGAATGTATATTATTTCCTAACTTCTAAATGTCCTGTCAGTTTTCTGTAATATTATTTCTTCTAATTAGTTTGTAGTTATCAGCAAAGCATTCTAAATTTAAGGCTTGTAATGTTTTCTCTCTTAGGAACAAATAAACCGCATATCCTACAATGAAAAATCTGACATCTGGTCTCTAGGATGTCTTCTATATGAGTTGTGTGCATTGTCGTAAGTATATAATACTGCCAAAAAGCTTCTAGGCAGGTGTTCTGAAGTAGTGGTAAGCTATGTCTCAGTCTAGTCATACTTGAGAAACCCAGCAATTAGAACTAAGGCAAGCACCAAAATGTTCTACCAATACAACTTTTGAAAAATTGAAACACATTGTATGCTAGATGCTAGGGTCAAGTTGAATATCATGTTTGTTAACTCTTTCCAGGCCTCCATTTACTGCCTTTAACCAAAAAGAGTTAGCAGAAAAAATAAGAGAAGGAAAATTCAGACGAATCCCATATCGTTACTCAGATCAGCTGAACGAACTCATCACAAAGATGCTAAACCTAAAGGTAAAGAGACTTCTTAAAGATACAAAGAACCCTAGCCATGGGTCTGTGAAAAAGAATTTCCACCCTTATTCTAGACATGCTGTCCCACAAAGCCTTCTCTAGAAAGTTTCAGTGTGACCCCATCTAGATTAGCTTTTGATGCAGCACAAACAAAATACAGATAAATGCTGTGAGTGGGGATAGTGTACAGCTATTGGATCCCAAAATTAGTTTCTCCTCCCACCTAAATTGTGGCTCTTTAAATACAACAATTCTGTACATTAATATCATGTGTCATTCTGATTTCAAGGATTACTGTCGGCCTTCAGTTGAAGAAATCCTGCACAATCCTTTGATAGCTGATTTGGTATCTGAGGAGCAAGGGAGAATCTTGGAAAGAAGGGGACGTCGGTCAGGCGAACAAGATAAAGTTGAAAGGCTTTCTGGAACACCGGTGAATGAGCTGAAACTGAAGGAGCAGCAACTGCAAGAGAGGGAGAGAGCCCTAAAAGAGAGAGAGTATAGACTGGAACGTAAGAACTTGTGTAGCCATATGGGCTGTGCTTTCTCAGGGGTGGGATATATTTCTCTTAGTGGCATGCATTTAAGTTACCATAGCACAGATATAACATATCTTCAGAATGTATAATGTGACAGCAGAAGTTTGGGCTAAATGAAGGATTGACAAGATTTGGGAGGGGGGAAGTTGGTTGAAATGCTTAATATCTTTAACCAGCTAGAATTCTAATGTGCTAAATACTCAAATAATGGTCCCTGAGACCAGTAATTAGCCAGGGTTCTGTTTACCAAAGTATACTGTAAAGGTACTCCATCATATCTGCACTGAATTACTGGATTGTGGCATTATACAACCAGTCATGCAACAGGTGTAAATGAGTGTCTACTCCCCTGTAGAAAAACAGTAGATTGAACTCTCCACTCATTTCAGAGAATTGTACTTCTGCAATCTTCTAGACAGCTCAGTTGTTTGTGCAGTAGTTTAGCACTTGGTTGTGCAACTCTAATTAGGATACCACCCTTGCACAACCACCAAAAAAAGTGCAACCACTTGCACAGTGGTGTTCACATCATCATTAATCTGGTTTTTGCATATAAACATGGATATAGTAGTGCTAATACTATGTGCTTCTTGTATGATAGGTTCATTTACACTAAGGGTATGCCAAACATCACAATCGAACTTGGAACACTGTTTTCAATGGGAATGACTTGACAAATGATGCAAATTGTATGCTGCTTTGTCCCAACTACCTACTGGTTATAATGAAAAGCTGTCACAAATGCCCTGCCTGGACAGAGGAAAACACCTAGTGAACGTTAACTGCAATCTGATCAAAGTACTTGTCTCTTTTGTTCCAGAGCGAGAGCGGGAGCTGTGTGTTCGAGAGAGACTGGCAGAAGACAAATTGGCTAGGTCTGTTCTTGAAGTGTCTGACATTCCTATTGTGATGCAGCAAAACTATATGGCATAAGCTTTTGTGGACCAAATCCTACTTCATCAGATGCATGGGTTGTAATCCTCAGTTGCAGGTACACAAAGCAAAATGAATATAAATAATGAAGTTCAGTGACTTCATCTGCCACTTAACTCCATTCTTCATGTGTTTTTGTTTTGTTTAACATGTGTATACATACCTGCAACTGAGGATCCCATCCCAAGAAGTAGACTCTAGTCCAGGGTAGGCAACCTTTTTCAGCCAGGGGCCGGTCCGCTGAAGTCCTCCCTTCCAGCGGGCCGGGGGGGAGGGAATGGCGGCGCGCGCTCTCACCCCCCGCCACCACACGCGCTGCCGCTGCACATGTCATGCCCGCCATTTTGTTTTGCCAAAATGGCGGCCGCGACTCGTTTGCGCATGCACAGTATTCCTGCGCATGCGCAAACGTGTCGCGGCCACCATTTTGGAAAACAAAATGGTGGGTGCGGCCTCGCAGCGGCGGTGGCGGCAGGGGTCAGTGGGGGCTGGTAAGCGGGGGGGCCCGGGCCGGAACCGGCCCCCGGGCCGTAGGTTGCCAACCCCTGCTCTAGTCCATTAAACTTTATACGTAATAAAATTTTAGTCCTTAAGGTATGGTAAAACTGGCTGCAACAGACTAAGATGACCCATCACAAAATGTTGGATACAAGCTTTGCTCTTGCTAATCAGTTCCTTTCTAAACAGGGCTGAGAACTTGATGAAGAATTACAACTTACTCAAGGATCAAAGACTCGTGCTGCCATCAACTAGCCCAGGTATGAGAAGATATAGGAAGCTCCTGCTGGACTACTGAATTCATTCCATTCTACTGGAATGCAGAAGCTCCTAGCCTTATCACTAGTGACCTTTCTAGTCACTACTACTTTGGTAGATATCCATACAGCTCTGTTGAAACAGGGGTCATTCCAGGACCTTAAAAACCAGGGTGGGGGGAAGAATCTAGCTTTAACATATACTTATACATCTGCTGCTGGTTGTAGACTAAAATGCTTATTGTAGTGGTATTTGTATATGTTGTAGCCTTTAACAAGGAATGACCACTTTAGGATGATAAAGCTTCTCATCTGTAGGAATCTTCCTATGCACATAGTATAAATTTATTGTAGATTTTGTCAGAAGCAGTTCCAGCATCAGGTAAACAAAATACTGGACAAATTTAACCATTCCCCATAGCTTTTGTTTGCTTATTGGTCCAGTTTAGAGATGGCTGCTACCCAAGATGGGGTTGAACAGCATTATGATTTTTGTGGAAACATTCTGTTGCTTGCTATGCCTTTCTATTACTAGATCTCTGTGTACACTGACCTCATTTTTTAAACATGCTCAAAATGTCAAGAAAATTTTGATTTTGACTTTCCTGAATGATATCATTAGTCCCTAATAAAATATATTTTATTATATTCATTTCTAAAAGATTAAAATCAGACTCTTCAAGATCAACCTAACTACCTCTATGATAAGTTAAAACTTAATGTATTTTTCCTATTGGAACTGGGAAAGTTGTTTTAGCAATATAATGGTATGTTCCAAAGCCATTCATAACTGAGTAACAATATGGGCTGGTAGTCTGTATCCCAGTGTCCTATCACTGCTCATTTATGTTTGACCTCAGCATATCATTATATTCTTCTTAAAATCAAATGTCTATTGGTTATCTGAACCAGGTGGTATTTATAATAAAAAGTGTCTATGAAAAAAAGGGCTAAGCGTTAGTACCTTATTAGGATTCTACAGACATCAGTATGTTCTCTTGTTGCTTAATTTAAATGACTGCAGTGCAACTGTCTATAGGTCTGAATATAAAAAGTAGTATTCTGAGTATTCTTTGGACTCCCCTCTTTGTTTCCAAAGTTGGTTGTTGCGTGGCCGCTTTTTAAAAATAAAAGCACTTGCCCCCTTGAACATACAGAGATTCTTGAGTAGGCTTTGTTTGGCCAATGCAAGTACCAAGTTCTGGGATGCTAGTATTGTATATAAGAATCATCTTCATAAAGGGATGCAGCATAGCTCCTTAA